GGGCGCGCGGCGCCGAGCGGGTTAAGTGGCTCCCTGGAAGCGCTACAGTCCCAGCAACGGGCCGGCCAATGGGAAGTGAGCCGGCTGATGTCACTGGCGGCGCCGCGGCCAATGGCGGCGCGTCCCGAGCGCGGCGCAGCGCTTGTAAGCGCGCCGCTCGCCCCGCGCCCCACGGGCGCCAACCGACACCAACCGTCACCAACCGTCACCAACCGCCACCAACCGTCCCGCGCCGGCCGCAGCCCCGGCCCCGGCCGCAGCCCCGGCCCCTGCCCGCTGTCATCTCGGCGCTGGCGCCGCCGCCGCGTCCCCGCCTCCCTCCCGCGCCGCCTCAGGGCTTCGCGTGTCCTGCAATGACCCCGAGCGAGGTGGGAAAGCCACCGGCTCCTCCAGCGTTTCCYTCTGCTGTTCCAGAAACGCCCATGTGCAGGGCCGCATGAGTGGGATTGCTAACACGCAGGTCCGCGCTGTGCCACGCTGCAAGAGGTGACACGTTTAGGTCACTGCGAAGTCACAGGCTCAGGTCCCTGCGAAATTACTTGGCGCGCAGCTTCTCSGCGTACGCGTCGGTGTATTTTTAGCCTGGCTGGCTGTGGCGCGGGGAGGAAGGCCGGCGGGCTGGCTCGTGCCTCCCGGCGCAGGCAGCCGTGCCGTGGGCAGCCCTGTGCCGCCTCGTGGGAACCATGTCAGCGCGCAGCCCTTTCCGAGCAAGCCTTGACCTCTCTGTCAAGGGCTCCAAGTYGCCCCTACAGCAGGGTTGCTGGGAGAGGGTAGGAGCCAGTGTGTTGGGTGTTTTGCAGGGCAGATTTTATTTCCCCTGTTTCGGAGCCAGTGGAAAGCAAAACACCAATAGCATCAGGTGAAGCTTTYTCCTGACCAAAGATTTGGTACTTGCTTCAGCGCCGAGTGCAACTGGGAAACCCACAATAACTTCATTGAATCCTTTCCTCTAGCTGCGGAGTGCATCACAGTCAGGAAACCAGCCTTCCTCCCTCCAATTCCATCCTGCAAGCCTCACCTTCAAAACCACAAGACCCAGAAGCCAAGCTTTCTAAAGAGCCAGAAGAAAAACCAAGCCCTTCCTGGCCCCTGCAAGCAATGGGCAGCACTTTGAAGATCTAGGAGATTCACAGAGATTCAGTGCAGTAACAGGAACCCAGTCTCCTTTTGAAGCCCCTTAGGGAAGTTCAGACACTTGGCAGCATGACTTGGTGCAGAGGAGCTTAAGCAGCTGGCAGGACAGGTAAACCCACAGGTAGCCCTGTGCCTCCAGGCGTATGTTTTTGAAATGGGAGCCAAGAGCAGGCCTTGGCACTGACAACTTGCTCCCGTTGTCTAGTCATGCWTTCATCTTCATCTTGCTTCACAGCTCTCATAATGTTTGACAGCTACAAGAAGTTTCCTACAGAAACAGACGAGGGGTTGTTGGGGGCTTTTCCAGGACTCTGGCTTTGTTCTCTGTTGTGAGGCTCTGCTGGCTGTGGATGTTGCCACCCATCTTTGCTTCTGTTATTTTGAAGCATTAGTCAGTTCATTTTTTATGATTTCTGCAGAAACAAAATGTGGCTTATCATGCTGTCTGTACATCTGTCTCTCTCTTCATCTGCTGCCCTTACATCTCTGAGCTCATCAGCCAGCGTCAGGTGAATTTCATAGTGAAGATACAGATTTCCTTCAAGTTCAGTGAAAATTGGAGATGGGCACAGAAGAGAGAAGCCTCTTCAGCATTTTCCCCGAGGACGAGTTGCAGTATGAGCTTGTTCTTTGATGGACACTCAGGTATCTTGACCAGAGCTCATGCTGTATACATGCACCGCAGGAAGCCAGGATTCCTTGTTTTCACTACCCAGGGAAGTTTTATTGCCCTGTAATAAATGTGCACCTACCTGCTTCATTGCTGATACAAACCACAACTAGTAAACAAAGGTAAGGTTGGTTAAAGGTTTTGCCTATCATACACAAGTCAATGGTTCAAAAAGCCTACCACTTCTACCCAACTAACGTATCTGTTCTCTCCATCCATTACAGCAAATACAGTTTATAGTGTGTTGTCAAGGCCTTTCACTCTATCAAAGAAGGAAAAATATTTTTCTGGATTGAGTACTACTAAAAAAAGAAAGAATTTGCCATCACACATAAACCACAAGTACTGAGATGTCACATTTTTTGGTATATTTTACTGTTTTCCTAAGTGTCAAGAGAAAAAATATTGGGGAAATACTCTGCCTTTGAGATTACTTACATCGGTATTTGTAAAGCATCCATCAAAGTAAAGCCCTGGTGCCTCTAAAAGCATTCCTATCAGATAGAGGAATTGGATCTTACCTRTGGTGAGCTGAGGCATGAAG